TGTATTGTAGACCAGCCTTTACAACTGGTTGCGCTACACCAGTTTCTTTTTCTCCTTCTAACGCAGTCCCACAGTTCGGCCCGTAAGGGACGGACGTTAGATCCAATATCTCACCTTGACCTTCTTCTTGTAATCGTTGAGCTGTTCCGAGGCGGGATCCCTCATCGGGCAGGCCATCTCGCCGGTCGATCTCTCGCAGCTACGTCCGTAAAGTCGTCGAATCGAGGATGCGCGAGGCGCGGGAGCGGGCACGGCGCGGTACACGGGCGCAGACAAGTCTACCGACGTTACGCAGCGACTGGCCGGCGGCGGCGAAGGCGGGCTTTTATCACGCCCCTGCCGGGTCGCGGTAGACGAGAGGTAGAGGTGCGCGCGACTCCCGGCAACTTCACGCCGACGGAGGAGCAGCGGCGGGAGCGTTCGAAGGAGCCGGTCCGCACGCGCTCTCGACATACCTCGGCGCGATCCTAGAGCGGCATTCGCGATCCGATTTTGAATATACAGTGTTGGCCCCTTCGCAGGCTGTCCAGGGTTATTTTGCGGCCGCCGCAAAATTCGCTGACTTCTGGAAAAAAAAGAAATTGTCCTTTGTTCTGAATGTTTGCCAATTTTGTTCCTGTAATACAGTTGATTTGTAAAATTTAGATTTTCTTACATTATTGTAAAGTCAGTTCTAGCGAAAGTTGAGATCTCGTTCAATTACGCTTGATTTACCGAGTGTTCAGTCGCTCGAAGCGGTTTGCATGGTTTCCAAGCTCCTTAAAATTATCTTAAAAAGTAAAAGCTGTTTACTTCCAAGTAAACTCGAACCTAGATAAAAATGATATTCGAATTCTTTACGAGTATAAAAACGCGACAGTATTGCAGCCAAGTAATTTTAAACCAAATGTTGACAACTTTACGAGAAACTTTTAACACATATTGTTAGAAAGTTCCTTCGGATGAAAACGAGGGGGAAACCGCTGAGGACATTGTGGTGTACAGATTTGCGGCATTACTGGGCATTACTAGGGCATTTTTTGGGCATTACGTCTTGCTGGGGCATTATAAAGATAAAATAAGATAAAATAAGATACAATAAGATAAAACAAGATAAGATAAAGTAATGCCCACTGGGCATTAGTGGGCATTGGTGTACAAGATTTTGGTCAGCGGTTTCCCCCTCGGATCAAAACGTACGTTTGTACAAAGCAACGTGATTATTTTAATGTATTACTTATTTATTATAATTTAAATAAAACAGAGATATTAAAGATAAAAGTAAACAGGGAAACATAGATTTCTAATTACAGAGGTTAAATAACACGCAAGAATGTGCATTTGTACATGAGAGAGATGAATCTGACACGATGATAAAAAGCGTACCTTAAAAATATATGCTGATTAGATTATCACTGTTTGCCCAGAGTGCCATTAAAGATAACAAAATTATTCACGAACACGTCCAAGCGGACGGCTTGACAGTTTGCTGCAGCCACTAGATTGTATTTTGTTCGGTAAAAATAGAATCTCATGCCCCTCGCGAAACTTTGTTAATTTCGCTTTGCTGCGATGTGAAAATAGTTCAAGGAAACGTAACAAATCGGTCAGTATAGATGTGTATATCCACGTCAAAACAGCAATATATAAATCGACATATGTGAGCTCCAACATATTTTACAATTAGTAGAAACATTGCATAACATTGGAAAAGCAAAAACGAAATAAATATAATCTAATAAAACTACTGATGCGAGTCTTGTTACTTCGTGGAAACAAGTTTAATGCCGCTATGAATTAATCACAATATAACTAATTAAACATCGTTCTTTTTCCCTTTGGAAAAAACAGAACTGTGTTTTGCATGCATTAATCCGTACGAAACTACGGGGAAAATCGGTGCCGAGCGATTTACTTCCATAACTTCGTTTATTAATGCCGTTACAACGCCACCTGAGCCAGGTACAATTCCGAGCTCGACATTAAAAGCCGGCTCGCACGATAATGCGCAGCCCTCTTATCACACGTATCTAAAAATTGCCGTCTAAATCGCACCACCTCACTGTGGGAATTTACAAAAATTTCACTTCAGTCCGGATATCAGTTGGCTCGGCCGAGAGCTAAGAAGGACAAAGAGCAAAACATTCCACTTCGAAGCACACAATTCTCGTTGTAAACAATACAAACGACATTATCGGATCGCCGTTCCATATCTTTGGTAGCGTACTGAGGGTGGGCTAAAATATGCAAGGATAGAGAGGACAGATCTTACGTACTTGCAAAACAACTCTGCTCGTCCGCGAAAGGAAATTAAATAACAGATCTACATAACAGCGCTATATAAACATCTTATTGTTATTTACATCATTGGCGAGTTGCTCCTAATAATCGTGTAAACCGCTACATTTCGCCGAGCACAATCTAACGATGCTTGATCGAGGGGAGAGAAGAGAGGAATATATATAATAATTATATATATGTATGTATGTATATATATATATTATTATTATCATTATGTTCGACACGATGTACGCGAATAAAACTGATTAGGTCTGGAAAATAATATACTCTCCGACGAAAAATTAATATTACATTACGCCTAGGAATCTGCCTGAGTTTGCACGCACCTTGCATCCTCTGCGTACTGCGTATAACGGCGACTGAGAAACATTCACGCGACAGGTACATACTGCGAAGTACTTCGAACGAATGTCTGTTTTTCCTCTATTGTAGCAATTGTGGCAACGGCAGCTTCGAAACTCATCCCGTCCCGCGTTGTAGTGTCGTCGTCGCATTATCACAATGGTTAGTTGAAATAACGCTACCACCCCGCTATTCGTAAAACGTGATTATTGTAAAAATGAACACTCGTCGTGAAAAACTCTCCGGCACATGTCACTTAAACAGTTTGATCCTACGTACGCATGCTTAAGTTAAGGAATGCGCGGCTCAACGAGAAAGCGAGAGGATGATCCACATCGGAGTTGAAAATGATCTGCACCGATAAAATTTGTGAACCCTACGAAAATTCTGCCAGCACGCATGCAAGACACCACACGGTAAATACGTCTCTGCTATGGAAGAATGTCGCGACAACTGACTCGTGATTCGGAAAAACTCATGATTTGATACCATTGTCTCCGTTCTGCTAATATGAAAAATCGTGATAATTACTTTGGGAATTATTAACTCTGCTACGTTATATTAGTATATCTAGGTGTAGGTAGCACACATTAGTTCGCAGCGACGAGGCTCGCTCGCTCGAGCATCAATGATTCACAATCCGTAATCCGATAATCCGTGATCCGGTGATCCGTCGACGACACGCGTAATGCCGCGCTGCAAGCTGAGCCATCCAGCGAGTCACGCTTGTCCGTAGGCTAGCCATTGATTGGCATCGGTAGGGGACATTGCACTTGCCACACAATCAGATGACTCTGCTCACCGTGCTCTTCGTTGCTGATCGCAGTGTTCGATCGGTCCATGCTTTCCTCCGTCTCCTCCCCATCACCTGGAAGATGGTGAAAATGTTATTACTGGCGAATAAATATCCCCGAATGAGAGAAAACAGGCATAAGTTGCGTTTACTACAAGACAATGCATGATAGATGGGAAAGCCCAACCCCCAGAGAATAAGATATATGATGTACTGTCGCCTTTAAGAAGTCAGAATATTAAATTCTCCTCTCGTATACTTGTTCTTCAACTTTGATGTTTGTGCACGTGCGCAACGTGTGCACATGTGCGATAAACACGCAGGCAATCTGTAGAAATTCGAGATACCCCACAGTCATATATGTATTCAATATGCAAAGATTATAGCAATGTTGTTGTTAGTCGAACTTTATTCTACCGTGCAACAGTGGGAAATGTTGTTCTGTTAGTAAAAGATGCACCGATTAATAGTGCCGTTCGTCAGGACAGAGAAACGTTCATTCAAATCGAAATATATAGAAATCGACCACGCTTCTTGCTTCTCTCTGGGGGCATACCTGACCATCTGCCACACAATTAGGTGTGTCGCCACATCACTCTCGTCTTCAGCTTCGTCTGCTAAAATTGTGCAATAACTCGTTAAACACAAACTTAAATCACAACTTATAAGTCTTTACCGATTTTCGTACAACAAAAGACAATGATTGTAAAAATTCATTTCGTCTACAACGGCTGCGTTCTTTCAGAGTTTATTTCGGATTTGTAATTGAGACGCCATACCTCGCGCAAACCATTACAAAAATTTGCTTACCAACTCTAAAATCGATGTAACCCTCGCCGCCCGAGAGAACGAGCATCGCAGGCTGCGTTCCATCCGTCACCGCGCTCTGGCCACCGTGACCTAGAAGCGATTTAATTTGAAGTTATTAATCTCTCCGAGAAGAAACCTTGCTTGAAAAAAAAGGGAGAAAACTAATCGACATGTATGTATATCGAGAGACGATATCGGTCGTTCCGGAACTGACCGGGTACAGCGACGAACATCTTCACGGCGTCTCTGTGCCCGTGAAAACTAAGCTGCGCATGGGCCATACTGCAATAAGGTATGAAACTTCCCGGCACGACTCCTCGCTCCGACGCGAAGATCCTGACACCGACTCCCGGCGCGTCGCTCTTGTTGCTACCCGTCTGCACTCTGGACACCGCCATTGAGCCACCCGCACCTGCGGCAACGCGGTGTTACAGAGCTGGCGAGTGCCAGTGAATACGAGGATGCTGTCTCTTCACTTACTCTCCGACAATGGCACCGAGATTATCACTCCGTTACCGGTGCCGATCCACAGCCTGTTGGAGGAAATGAGCAGAGCGGTGATGCGCACGAAGGAGAAACCCAGTTTTCCCGTGCCGAGCATCTTGCTGACGTACGGCTCTATGTCGACGTCCTGGAGGTGCTGGTAGGTGTGAGCGTGATAGAGTCTCAACGTCGAGTCGAGCCTGATGCTGACCCACACGCCGTCGCCCAGCCACGCCAGCTGCCGCACTTGAGATTCTCTGCGAGGATGCGCGTCCACTGTGCACTGTAAAATAGAAAATTCTAGTTCTTATCGGTTTGTCAAGAGCTTCATCTTTATCTTTCTCCTTCTGTACATGTATCATATCCTTTTAAGAACAATCCCAGTCTGTACCTCAAGCGTCATCGAAATAGGATCGATCACGTGAATCTTGTTTCTGTATCCGCACCATACTGTCTTCCCGCTAACCGCGGTCATGCATCTAATGGAATGTTGAGGGCTGCCGAGCGTGATCACGTGATATTGAGACAAGTCCCATTGTCCGTCCACGCCTCTACGGAATATCGTTACAGTTCCGTCCGCTAAAGCGACCAGAACTCGGCCCTGCACGTGCCTAATGTGAAAAGGGGTTCCTATTAAATCTCTCATCAACAAAATCTTCCAGTTAGAGGCTCTCGCTTAAGTTTTCTTTCGTCTACGCTACGGTCCTTGCTACTCGAAAGAGCTACGTACACAATAGCTAACGCCGCATCCCTCAGCTTCACGGAGTGCAGGCACACCGACCACTTGGCAACGGCCGAATGAACGAAAACCGCGCCGTTTTGAGCTCCGAGCCACATGGTCGGTTGTATGGACGACATCTTCTCGATGGGCGTCTCTTCGGCAACCTCCTCCTTCGCCCCTTCGTTCACGGCGCCCTTGTCGTTCGATCGCGAGGGATGCGCCTCGCCGTTGTACCGTACGAAGTTCACCTTCCCCAGGTTCGCGGTCTCGCTGTCTATACTCTCCAGACTCTGCGGCTCGTTCGTGGAGTTCTGATCCGTCTCGGCAGACTTTTCGGTATTCTCGTTGGCCTGATCCTCCGACTGATTGTCAGACTCGCTCTTACTTTTGTCGACCTCGGCATTCTGATGATTTCTCTGGCCGTGCTGCTCCTCGGTCTCGTTCGCGTTCGCGACGTCCTCGCCGTCGTTGTTGTTCCCGTTGTCGTTCGCCGTGCCGTTCGCCGAGTTGCGAATCGAATTCTCGCTCGAGGACTGCGCGTAGTCGCTCTCCTTGGCACCGGGCACGCTCGCGATGCAGAGCAGGTGTCCCTGACACACGTTAAACACCTCGAGAACATCCGCCGGATTGTTCGCGTCTATCACCGTAACCTTGGACATCTTCTGCGTCGAGGTGCAGATCCAGACGAGCGAGCTCAGCTGTTGCTCCCATCGTTCCGCCTCGAGCCGTCGATTCTCGCTCTCCTGGAGCTCCTTGTCCAGGTGTTCCACGGCATCTTCAGCCTCCGCCTTCGCGTTGCTCGTTTCCTGAGCCTCGGCCGCGTAGAACACGCTGCCGCCGACCATGCAGCCGCCGTCGCGCGTCTTCCCGCCGCTCAGATTCACACCGGCGCCGCACCAAATCTGGCAAAACCAACCCGGTGAACTCACTCTCTTCATCAGGAAACGGAGGGGCAACGGTTCTAAATTCTCTTTTATCGATAAAAGTGCCGCTAAAATTTTGAAGGATTCTTATTGACTGAGAGAGATCTTCTACAGACACTTTTATCAATAAAAGAAGATTGAGAATATGAGCTAATGTAAACACGTACCTTCATGCCTGGCTCGGTTTCCTGCAGGGGTCGACAGTACACCGGAACTGGGACAGGGGGTTGCTTGACGGGAGCGCTTGGCTTCCCGGGTAAACTCCATCCGTAGGCTTGCAGACGGCCGTCCTCCTTCTTAACGTGCGCCCGCACCTGACGGTACTGCTCTCTTCGCTCGCTCGCGCGTCTCGCTACGAGCTTCTCGGACGATCTGCAACGACGACACGAATGTATTATATTAATTATCGCGCGCTCACGAGTCTCGAGAGAAGGGAAAAAGATCGTCGCAACTTTTCCGCGTTAGCAAACGGTAAACTGTGACTGTTGACTGTCCGTCCGACCATCCATCTCACCACCACACCTCCTCCGACCATTCTGCTTCCATCTCCATCGATTCTCACAGTCTCATTCTTGTCTCAAATTTACTGACATATGTAGGACACGTATGCTAGATACGGATATATCTATCGTACTTCTTAGAATCTGACGTTGAAGCGGAAAGTTAGAAGTAGAGCGGAACAGATTTACCTGCTGACCAATAAGCACCCCACCCGAAGCCAGAAAAACCAGGTATCTCTTGACAACGCCACGAGGGAGAGGCAAGGACGAAACCCGAACAACAAAAAGACCAAAAGCGCAGTAACAAGAGTGAAATAAAGGCCAAGTTTATAACGTAATCAAAACTTCATTTATTTCTTTCGATCAGTAACGATCGCATGTTATTATTTTTCCAAAGATTGTACAAATTCTGTATTTACAAAATTATGTGCTTCTTTTTTTTTTTCTTTTATTCAAACGTATTACTTGAAAAATTGACCTAATGGTTTAATTAGTGCAACTCCTGCATATTCAACAAGGTGTACATTATCGTAATATATACAAACCATGCTAGAACTTGATAATAAAACTTGACTAACGGGTAATTGATAAAAGAATTTTTAAGTAAAATTAAACGTGTGGTAATATCAAAACAGAATTATGGAAAGAACAATCTTAATGCCTCACAAAACGCTACACCGTTTCCACCTTGATGACACGCCCAGATCTAGTAAAATTTTCCTCTCTAGATACTTTGTTGAAAGCCAAAAAGATTACAGAGTGAAGCGAAAACTAGGTTAATACATATATACATCAATGCGCGCAAACTCGCCAGTAAACAGGCTAATTGTAAGATTATTCAGAAAAGACTCACGTCTTTCTAGCGCAATTGAGACTAATATCGTGAATCGTGACAAAAGATTACGGATCCCAACTGACCAAAGAGGATTCTAATCTGCAAAGATGAGCAATTCAGAAAGTCATACTAAATTTTTTCCCGGTATAAATCAGCCCCACGTGGATTATAAAACAGCATTACCTTTTTATACGTTTCGTCACTATGATTTTCGTTACAAAGAGTACCGAGGTTACGCATTGAATTGCAGCCTGCGTGTAAACTGTGTAACATTACGTATTCGCGAGAGACATTTTCCTTGGGAAAGAAAATGAACTCAAGCTCGTTAAACGATGATCAGATCAGGAGAAAAGTATAAAACGACAAAAGAACATTGATGAAAATAAGTTGTAACAGATTAAAATTAGGCAGATTTCGATGTGTCAAGTCGACGTAAAACATATCTACGTGCATGTAGTAAAATTTGATTAATTTCTCACATGGTGTCTCCTTGGTCGAGAAAGTCTTGGCGATTTTTCAACGTACGTCTACGCATGGCATCCAGGGGCGGCGCCGGGACGACCTGATTCGCCGGCGCGCTGTATCGTACGTGCGGCAGCGTGTGCGCGGAACGCACTAACGTCCCTCGATCGGCCGGGCCTGTGAAGAGGTTGCTAAAACTAGAACGAGAAAAGGACGGATCAATCCCCTTTTGGTCCATTTCCCTTATCGTTTTAGGTTCGGCAGAGCGATAGACACATACAACTTCCACACCGAACCCTTTCCACCCGAGATACTGGAAGGATCGGTCTTGCTGGCTCTTATCATCTCCGTCCACCTCACAGCCTCTTGGAGCTCCATAAACCGTTCCTTATACTGATTTCGTTCCATGAGCACTCTTGCCATTTCCACGCGCGTAAACCGCTTCCTTTGAGACAGAGGCACGTCCTCCTCGTCGTCGCTTTTCGTCGCTTTGGCCGCCGCCTCTGCCTCTTCCTTCACCTTCTTCAGCTCTTCCTCGAGGGCGGCGATTCGTTGCCGCAATCGTTCGCGCGCCTGCTGTAAACCTCGCACCTCCTCCCGTAATATTTCTTGCTCACTGGAATGTTCAAGTTTCTAATAATATCTAGAAATTATATCGGTGTTGCAATGAGAAGGATTTAACAGTGACTTACCTCGTTAATTCGTCCACTTTCACAATTAGATCGTCTTTGACAACGTTAAGCGCGTTCCTGCAAGGGAATATCTAATGTTAGAGACTGTTAAGATATAGAATAAAGTTGCGTTACTTTATTAACAAAATTAAAAACGTACTTTGTTGCTAGCAATTCATTGTTCTCCATAATCAGATTTTCTACCTCCTTTCCCATGCCTGTAAAAAAAATAGATAAATGTATCGCAACACAACTTCTTTTACAGAGACCAAATGTATTATACTTAAACATTGTTTTACTTCTTGAGAGTGTGTTATATTTAAAATTCCAATTTTTTTTTAATTGCAATGTCACATAGCAGGTAAGAGAGATAAGAAGCTATTGTAATTAGAATTTCTCATTCTTCTCCGTAGGTAGTTGTTATATAGAAAGCAAATTTGAGAATAACTGTCCTGTCAACGTGATCTGGTGTTAATTACTGGGAAAAATGTGTATCGTACATCGTGTATATCGTACGAAAACGTATTAACGTATTATTAGCATATCTTACCAAAGAAGTTGTCATTAACTGCATGGTAAATTAGTGTCATGCGATCGCGTGTTGCAGGTACACGAGCCAGCACAGGATGCGGTAGCAAATAATGAAACACAATACAAAGATAATATAAGTTGAGGAAACTGTTAACTGAAAAGATGGGCGGATGAATGAATTAATGAACGTATGTGCATACCGCGAAAGTCGCGGAATGGAATCAAACGTACCTGATGAAGCGTATTCTCCAGGATGTACCAAGCTTCCTGAAATCAATCGAACGTACCGATTTAGCGCTTCGGAAGGACCGAAAAACGAGCTTTAAGATATTTCCGCGTGACGTGAATGCAATACCGGTGATATCTGCGCCTTCGTCCATTTCGCCCAGCGCGTCCGCATCTTGGAAACTCAGCTCCTGATACAGCGTGTTGCCGCTTCGTTGTTCTCTCTCGGTCCTGCTTCTACCTCCCGGCGTGGTCGCTAACTTCTCTATGCCCGCGGTCGGCGTCGTTGGCGTCACTAAAGTTGGCGGTATTTCCGTTTCCGGACTTTCGTCTGCAAAGACACATCCTTAACTCAGAGTCTCACAATTGCAACGAAAAGTCTACAGGATCTTATCGAACGCGACATACGTCTAGATATAGCTGTAGTCTTGTTCTCTTGTAACGGTTTATCAGTTAGTTGGCTCTTGTCGGATTTCTCGATAGCGGCTTCGATGCTACTGTCCAACATTTCGGTTCTCAGGTTAACGACATTTGGTACGATATCCTCTTGAACGTCCTCGGCGTTTATGCTCGCCTCCAAGCTCTGAAAGCCGTAACTAAGCGGGCCGGAGCTGCGCGACATATGAGCAAGTCCGAGGGAAGGTAGCCGCGATGGCGCACGGCTGGCGGACACGCTCTCCAATCTTTCCGTGCTACCAACCAGCATTTTGGTCCTCTCCATGTAATCGACATGGGTCTTAAATAATTCCGTGTATCTGTCGTGCAGCCGGGAATACTCGCGTTTCAATTCAGCTTCCTTCTCCTCGAGCCGACCAACTGCGAAAAAAAATGTTGAATATTCAGTGGTGTGCGTAATCTGCGAGTGTCAAGTTCTGGACACGGAACATCCTCCACATTTTTCATTCATGTGGTAAACAACATTTACGCAAATAGAGCTCTTCAATTTAAATAATCATTTACTTTAGATAGCAGGCATTTATCGCCAGTGTAAAAGCAAGCAAATGACCATTTATTATAAAGCGTCAAGTGACAAAATACAACAGCATTATAAATAAAATTATACGAGGAAAATCGGAAAGAGATATCGTTTCTTTAATATGAAGTTATTCTCTGTATTTTATGTTACTTCTTTGGACGTTCATGATTATGATTGCAAAACTCAGTCAAGAACATATTAGACAATTTTGTCGTGGTAATAATGCAGCCACGGTCTATAGAAACTCTATTTAGAGTATTCTCTCAGTACAACTAATAATTCCATTATTTTTTCAGATCACTGCAGTATTAGCGGATAAAAATTTGAGAGTGACGTTCAAGTCGTCTCATTCAGAGGCGAGTTCTCTATTATGAGATAGGTTTTTAGTTTGAGATAACAGCTTTTCAATACCTAAATTCAATCACAAATCTTTTTTCGCGACGATCACACAATGGTGAATTTTCCACTAAACAGATTTCGCTCCAAGGGCAACAAATGCATGGCGGAATCAACAGATGACGCCTATTAATTTAACCGAAAGCCCGCTATCTCATAACAGGGGACTTTCCTCTAAATCATAGAAAATGAGGGCAGTTATATTCTTAAATAAAAAAAACTAGGAAAATCTATATAATTTATAAAAACGATATTACTTTCCGATCCCCCTGATATATAAAATAACAGAGTATGAGAATGAGTGAAGAAAATAACAAATCAGCAAGGAACGACAAGAAATGGATGGTAAATCGGCACCTTGGGTTCCACGCACAATCCCTATCACAGAGTGGCGGACAAGAATGAGTATGAATAACATAAAACAAAAGAAGAAAATCTTCTACTCTACTGTAGAGGGAAGAACTGTGAATGGGTAGACTGGAAGCGCCAATGGCATTTGTACCGTGATCGTGAGAGTTCTTAGTCTTCAGTTCCAGCATTCTTACGATAGACTCCAAGCTGTCGATCTTCGACAGCAGCTCCTTCCTCTCATCCTCGGAAATGTCTTCCAATTCGAGAAGTTTCTGATACAAAACGTAATCACGTTACATCACGGCGCAACTGTATTGTTATCTTGTGCAATTTATAGCCGATGCGTTTGAAAGGGGCCAAGCAGTTACCTGATCCGACGCTTTTCTCAGTTGCTTCTCCCTTTCGTACTGCGTGACAAGCTGCTCGTTATCCTCTCTCAGCAGCTCCAGTTCGACCTCGCGCTCTTGATTCTCGGTGTACGATATATCCAGACATTCTAACACATTGACTAGCAGAGGCATCAAGTCTTTCACTACATCCTCGTCGTATCTCGCTATCATCTTCTCGAACTCTTGATAGATGCTGCCTGCCAAGGACTGCACCTTCTCCGACATGACGACATGGCTATCCTCGTGTGTGCCGTAGACCGTTTCTTGATCCATTTTGACCAGTGTTGTGTATATATATCTATACCTATATATATATATATCTATCTATATACCTGCAACAATGATAACACATTCAGATTGGATTAAAGAAGCAGTGATTCACCAATCGCTCCATTCTATACACATATACTAGCAAGACTCAACAACGCTTTGTTTCCAAGGAAATTTATCAGCGATGTGTAGGTGGCAAAAAATGCTTCAAGTACATTTTCAAAGCACGGCAATCCAAGTAGCATAAAGAGTGAAACGTGTACAAAGCGTTTAAGAAATTTTTGCCGGCAAAATACCGGCGAGAGCTTGGCGAACTTTGCTGACAGGTGTCATGGAAATGTCCGGAATGGATTCCGATCGGAGTCGCTCCATTATTTCCTGGATTTCTGCCACGTTTTCCAGGGGAAGCGGAATAATTCCGATCGGAATCCGCTCCAAACACTTCCACGATCGACGTCCAGACGCGGCAGATTGACTGTAGAAGCTGAGCGACGTGTACTGTCTTGTGACCATTTAAATGACTACGAAACGAGACGAATCTTGCTCGGCTTCTGCTGGCAGATTATGTCAGACTGAGGCGACATTTTGCTCGAATCCGCAAAGAGTTACCGAATAGCTCAGTTTGCCGACACTGTCAACAGAACGTTAGCAGAAAACCGTGAATCTGTTAATGGCAGATTAGCTGTAGAAACCAAGTGTAATCTGTCACCTCGTGATCGTTTGACAGGTCCATTCTATTTGAATGGCGAAATGACACGATTCTGCTTCACTTCCGCTGTCAGATCGGCTGTTAGGCGGACAAAGCACACGAGGCCTGACGCAGACGTAACACCGATGGCAATCCGCGAGCGAACCGCCAGAGCGCAGCCAACATTTTACTCCTCCCCGAGGTCCACTCGGGCGGCCAATCTGCGACATCTGGTCGCGAGGGGAAGGGACGGAAACCGAAAGAAAAAAAGCAGGAAAAAAGACGCATTTTGCCGCGCTGTTGCACAACTCAACTCTTTGGACTCGATACGCCGACAGTTACGTTGCACTTTTCACAGCCAATTAAACGAGTCCCGGGCCGCGGGACTTCGTCGAGGGCGTTGAAGGGCGCAGAGCGCGTGTCTCCAGGAAGTGTAGAGCACGAAGAAACGCGTCCACTCGGTGCTGCTCGGCGATGCGGAGGCGGCGGCTGCTGCTCGGCGGCGGTCCACCGCGAACGGCGCTCGTCGTCGGGCACATAACTCCGCTTATAACCTCCTGCGTGCGACAGCGTCGCGCGGGGTACGCGGGCGGACGCGCTCGAGCGGCCTCGTGTCGTTTCGCTGCGCGGGGATCGGCGGACGCTCGCTCGACACCGCGCGCTCGCGGTGTCTCATCGCATCACCTGCGCGTCGTCGTCCTCCTCCTCCTCTCTCGCTCTCTTCCGTCGCGCGTCACTCTCGTCCTCGTCGTGGACACAGCCGTGGTCTCACCTCCTCGGCCACCTCGCGCGCCGCGCCACTCGCGGGCCGCACGCGCCAACGGACGGACGGGAGCGATCGCCGACGATCGCGCGTGACGTCTCGCACAACCACTGCCCCGCGCGCGCTCTCTCTTTTTGCTTCCTCTTTCCTCTCGCTCGGGGTCCAAACGCGAGCGCGCACGGCCCGACACTTTGACGGTCGCGCGACGCGACAGGTGCACGCTCTCTCTCTCTCCTTCCCGCGCGAACTCCGGAGCGCGACTGTCAATCGACGGCGACACGGCCGGCCCTCGCGCAGTTTCTCGCGGTCCCCTTCGACCCCGATTGCAACGTGTTACGGAAATAGACGCGCGACATCCCCGTCTCCGCGAACGACGTTACCTTCGCCTGCTCTCTCTCTCGGTTCACTTCCGTTAGGTGGCCGTGGCGTCATCCGACGGCTGCTGCCATGCCGCGATTCTCGAGGGACGCAGACTGGCGGTTGATAGCGCGCTTATCATTGACCGACGCGTATCTACGTGGCGCAATTGGACGCATCCACGCCGACGCGTCGCGAGGTCCGCGCTGATCGGAGGTTCTTCTCACGCGGGAGAGAAAAATAAGGGGGGGACGGGAATGGACATTTACGCGGCGAGCGTGGCGCGTGGATACGCGCGCGCTGTTCAAAAACGAACGAACCGAGGGGTCGGAGTTTAAATCTCTCCGCTCGAGCACGCCGCTGGTTTGGTTTTATTCGAACGCCACCCCTCGGGGAAGAAAGTCGGCAACCACCGAGAGATGCTTACAATCGTTTCCTTTCGTCTCGCAATGTACATTCATCTCTTTTTGAAATGCAGGAATTTTTGCGGACTCGAAGCAACACGCGACCAGACGGACCTTTAAATTGTCTCGAACCCTGGTTGCGCCAATTTCCGCTGCGCGCGGCAAAAACTACAGGCGGCCCAAATTCGATCTGGATGGAATGGATGTTCTGGTTCGGTCCAAACGCGCGATGAGCGCAACTGCAGTTTATTTTGTCATCGCACAGTTTACATCGATTTAAAAAACCTCCTACGTAACGAAAGAGAGACGAGGAAAAGTACTCTCGCAGTATACGTCGCATAAGCGTTACGAGAGAGAAAAAGAAAACAAATTTACATCAACGAGACATTGTAACATTGCACGTTACTTGCTTAATATCATTGCTATACTAGATTATAATGTATACGCCAACTGTAATTACTGTATCGCTGTACCGGTCCGTACAATCTAGGATACGGCAATACAGTGTTCACGGTAATTACAGTACTTAGTAAAATCAATTAGTAACGCCCGCGAAATCCGCCACCGCCGCCGTTCCAGTTTCCGCCTCGGCCGCGTGGACCAACGCCGTATCCCCTGTTGTAGCCCCCCCTGTACCCGCCGCCACCGCCGCCGCTGAAACCGCCGGACTCGCTCGAGACCGGGCCGCGGTAACCGCCGCTGCCGCGCATCATTTTCGGGGGTGTGTTGTAGCTCGGACGAAAGTTGCTCCACCTCCGGGCGGTTTGGAAGCCGCCGCTGGTCACCTGCTCGAGCTCGTGGCGGCAAGCGTTCATGCTGCACAACGCCTTGATCACGTTCATCACCTGCCGAGGAGGGAAAACGGATTTTCATTTGCCAGGCTTATCGGGAAACGTCATCGTGTACCGAGCGTTGCGGAAAAAAAGAGGAGAAAGAGAAAGGGATCTTTAACATCAAGAGTTTGACGCCGGCAAATGATTAACGACGATGAAGCTTTTAATCGACCATGACTGCCGATGCGTTTTTAACGCAGAAAATTTATTGCGAAAAAATATTATCGAAAAATATATAAATTGGTAATATTTTTCGCAACAAATTTTCTGTGTTAAAAGCACATCGCCAGTCACGGTCGGATTAGATGCTCGATCATTGAAAGGGATCTTTGTTGGCGCAAAGATCTTACATCTGTCGTGGAAAAGAAAAATAGCAACAAAATGATCGTCACTGGCTTTAATACACTTTTCTCCAATTAAACGTATTTTCATTTACTTCAGTCAGCGGCACACGATGCTATTTTGTCAGCTGATCTACTCTGATCAAGTCAGCTGATCAAGTCAGCTGATCTACTCTGCATCCTTATTGGATCTTGCAAGAAATCCAGTGGGCAAAACAGCATCGTGTGTCGCTGGCTTTAGAAATATTTCAAATCTGTCTTTTTTTTTGTAAGAATTTGGAATCTTTTTAATACAAATTTTAATAGACAAACGATTAAATAGAAAATCTTTTGCGCCAACTTGATTATACGTGAATTTCGAGATCCAAGATCCAAATAATTGAAGAGCCAAATACATTCAGATGTAAATGTGCTGAATAACTTTTTCAAGTCGATGACGTCCTCGCTCTTGGAGAAATGAAATTCGATGTATACCTTCTCCTCGGTTGGATTCAACTCTAGGATCGCTTCTGGATCCTTGGACGCCCGAACTACGAGACTCTCCAGGGCGGGTCGCAGAGCGACTATGGCCGCCGCGTGTTGCGGATTAATGTCCAAGTTAATCCAGTTGTCCAGCCTAATCACCCCGTCCACGTACTCCACCTTGCGCGATCCAAACAGCAGCAGGTGTATAGGCGACACCATGGTCATTTGCTTGCAGGACACGGCTTTCGTGCGAATCTAACGAGACAAGAAAGAGCGTCACCGGGGAGGGGGTTCGAAAAAACAAAAGACAGATATTTACAAAGCTTACCTTTTCACCGAACACGAAGAACGGGAACGGGAAGTTTTGCTCCAAGTTGCTGCAATTCACCGACGTCTTGTGAATCAGCGCGGCCTTCGACTCCGTAGTGAGAACCTTCCGCTTCTCCTTGTGGTAGCACACGTTGGGGTACAGGCCCATGCACAGCAGCGCAGTGATGGTGTCGAGGCGCGGGTCCGCGCCCGCCTGATAATTCAACGGAATCGGGCATAGAGTCTCCTCAGGGAAGCCGGCGCTCTGCAGCAGCGACTGCAGTTGATTCTGCACACAAAAGAACAACGGGAATAACGTGGTGGCGATTCCGCGCGGAGGGCGCGACGGCGAGCCGCTGTGTTTCACCGACCTTAGCTTCCCAGGTGATCCGCAAGGTCGGCAGGCTCAGGCTCTTGGAGTCGCAGAACGCCTGTTCCGCCCACTCGCCGCCGCTTCTCGCCTCCTCCCACGCTTGAAAAGCGTGGAACATCGCGACGTGGTCGCTGTACCGCGCGCCGGCGAACCACTTTTGCTGAGTGGTCAGCCTCCGCATGTCCGGGCCCATGTTGTACACCTCGGGGAAAGTCGTGCTGTTCGCGGCCATTGTCGAGAGCGCGTCGCCTACGCGGAACATGCATCCCAGGATCATCATTTTCCCCAGCCTCGGTTCTATGGGCAGACGCGCCAGGATCTTGCCGAGAGGCGTCAACTCGTCGTTCTTATCCAAGCACTTCATTTCTGCACGACATACCGTTGTAAAAAGTCTCGTGATCGCTACAAGGTGGCTGTAGAAAAAGGACACGTACCTCTTAGGACGACCTCCGCCTCGATCACAGCGTCGATGGGCGGCGGCTCGATCGCCTTAGACAGGAATTGGCCGATGTTGCCCAGTCGCAGCAGTTTGATGCTCAACGCCAGCTCGTGCAGAGGCGTCCTGAACATCTCCGGTGTCATGTGCTCGTCCATCTTGTTGAATCGGGCCTTCGAGCACAGATGGAAACAGAAGCCGGGTTTGACGCGGCCCGCTCTACCCTTGCGTTGCTCCAGATTCGTCTTGCTGGCCCAGACAGTCGCGTAATTGGTCATATTGTTATGCGAAGTGAACAGCTTCATTTTGGCCTTGCAAGAGTCGATAACGTAGACGACATCGTTGATCGTGATCGAGGTCTCTGCGATATTCGTGGACAAAATGATCTTCGTTACGTATGTCGGCACGGGATCGAAGACCTTACGCTGATCTTCTCTAGGTAATTGCGAGTGCAGCGGAATGATGAGGTAGGACGACCCGCCAAAGACGGCGTGCTGCTGAAGGTGCTTCATCAACGCGAATATCATGTTCCAGCCGGGGAGGAAGATGAGCACGGCACCCGGGATCTCCTGCTTTTTTACGTACATAAGCAGCGCCTCTATCAACTCGAAGCTTATCTCCTTTTCCGTCATCTGCGCCATGGCGTTCTTTGTCGCAATGGAGTAATTGTTGCCAATGACCTCGTTCAGATTCTCCTCCGGTTCTCCATCCGCCAACGGCAGATCGTCCGCCGAGTCCTTGGACTTGCGCTTCCAGTTGCCCGCCGGGGGAATGAAATTTGTCAGCTGTATACAGTCCTCCAGGAAGTACTGTTGGACGGGAAACGCCCTGCCGGGAATCTCCACCACCGGGCAGTTGTTGAAGTACTCGCTGAACAGCGTCGTGTCGATCGTAGCCGACATGAGGATGATCCTGAGCTCGGGGTAAATGTGGATCATGTCTCTGAGCACCACCATGATGAAGTCCGAGTTGACGTCGCGCTCGTGGATCTCGTCGACGATGACGTGCGACACGCCCCTGAGGCCGCCCTCCAGTTTTCTCAGGAGTACGCCGACGGTGCAGAACATTATGCTGGCGTAGGGTCTCGGCAGGCACGACTCGAACCGCACGGAGTACCCGACCGACTGTCCCAAGGTCTCGCATCTCTCGGTGGCGACTCGGTCGGCCACGGACACGGCAGAGATTCGTCTCGGCTGAGTGACGA